TGGAGTCACAGGGCAAGATGGGAATTTCAGTTTGCTTTTCTATGAAGTGCATACGCCTCCCTCATTTCCACGAAAATGCACAACAGTCTCATAAGAAAAAAACAACCCCACAATTTTGATGAAGGAACTCGCCAAGTAAATTTGTTATGCTGTAAGTTATGAATTTTCACCCAGCCTCTTTTCTCGTGTGCTTAACCCCTTTCACAAACTCACCAAGACCACTGCCAGGTATTGAGCAGGCACAAGAAATACCGAGTAATACGCTGTAACTCATCATACACACATGACAGGAACAGCAGATTACAACAGTCCCTTCTGCTTTACACAATGTGAACCTAAGAACGAGTGTGTTGTGATCGACCGGTGACGAATGAAGCTAATACAGAGCTTTATTAACATTATTTAACTTCTCAGGCCCTTAAAGGAGGCGTATCTGATCAACACAGCTGGGGGGGGGCAAAATGGTTTTGGTTATGAAAGCCTGGTGGGGTAGGGAAAATTACAGGACAATTCCCTCTGCAGCTTGGGAAGAGCAGAAAATATAAAGCCAAGGTGGCCAGTACTTTTTAACAGCTCAGATGTCATGAGAGAGAGAGAGCATCGGTGGTGGGCATCACTGGAGAAGTTCCCAGTGGACAGGGTTGGAACAGCTGAGAAGAAACCAAGATAAACACATCTCGGTGCCAACGAGAGCAAAAGTGCACTGAGGTGAGAGCACAGGAAGCCAGAGAAATGCTGGAAGGCCACCTCCTTGCTGCCTTATCAGAACTGTTGTTAATTGTACAATTAACAGGCACTCCTGAGGATCCCGCAGTAGCTCCCCTTCCAGAAGAAAAATAAAAGGAGCAAATGCCCATGTGCACAAAGGAGAGATGTGGATTTGGGCCTCCAAACTGCGGCGGCCAGATGCGGACAAATAACACGATCTTTTAACTCAGCACACACCTTATCGATCAAGATACAACTTTCAGAAACAAGCGCTGGAACAGTTCCACTAAACGCACGTGCTGTATGTTGTTCCCACAGCCACTTGATTATAGAGCTTAGTGGGAAAAGCCCTGTTAACGATGTGCAGTTCAGAGAAAGTATATATATTTACCAATGGAACAATATCTTGTGAAAAACACTTGCCCGATTAGTCGTGTCTTCCCTTTCAGAGACGAAGCAAAGCTGTGAATTGCAAATTTTGGCCACAATCAACCAACCATACAGCAATCAAAAATGACTGTTCATAAGAACGAAGACAGAAAAATCAGAAATTAGCAGGAGAGCATCATAAAAGCTGGGTTACGCAAGGGTTTTTACTCTTTATTTACAGCAAATATATTACAGTAAAAAAAGCTTAACGTGGCTCATGTTGTGGTTGTGTAAGGATGATACATATGCTTACATCAAGCACGTTTAATTTCCTTGGCACTAACTGAACCAAATGCGAGAATTCGACGCAAAAATAAGAAACAGAACATTTATCAGGCAAACTCTACGTTAACTGCACACATCTGCGGCCGGAGTTGCAATGCAATCCAACGAATACAAACAAGCCACCAGGATGGCAAGAACCTTTTTGATGAGCGTGTTTAACCCTCAAGACAAGGCTGTCTGGCACCATTTAAAAGTTGCTGAGCTGAACACAGTGATTTTAAAGAAATGCCACAGATGATTAAGACACTGAAAACGCACTCGCCACAGTGAAGAATCACATTATTTTCGTTATTTCTTTCAGGTTTTTTTTTCAGTACAATACCAAATTCTAAACAATACCAGAGTGTTAAAAGGCTGCAGGGCAGACAAGCTGGATGCAACAGCTGGAGGGTTTTGCCTGTCAAGCAAAAGGAGATGTGCTTTATGCAACAAACCCCATGAAATACAGCTGGTGTGGGTTCAAATAAGAAGATCTAAGAACAACAAATGTCGAAGCCTTACAAGCTCTCTTCATTATAATCAGAATCCTGAGAAAAGCAGGGTCCAAATTACTCCAAGTGAATTTAGGCTCGCTTACATACAACAAAATTGTCCAAATACATCAGCAGTAGTAAACAGAGTTAATGCGGTGTTAATCTTTTTACATTTTAATGACTAGCTATAAAAACAGAAACTAGCATGTTCTAATCTGTTTACATTTCCTGAGCTTAGTTAAATCAAGAAGGAATGAACATTATAAAAATCCCGATAAGTCGCCAATAAATTAAGAATTTACATAACCACCATAGCTTAAGAAGCCTTAAAATGCTCAGCGTGAAGTCTGCCGGTCCGACACCTCAGCCTTTCCTTCAGAGCTCCTGCACAGAAACCACGCTGGTAACCGCACCACCAATACTGAGATGCTATGGAATTGTAGGGCACTTGGGTTTTTTTTGCTCTCCAAGTGCCCTTCTACATGATCGCCTTTCCTCATTAAATCAGATGAGAGCATTCAAAACCTGCAATCCTTACTTCCAGTGCAGGAAACAATGTTCTCAGAAACACGATGTGCTACTGAAATCCAAATGTACTGGCAGCAGTTATCTGGGTGCACTCTCAGGTGCCACGCTTAACATCACTACATCGGCAGCAGGTTCAGTATCCTCTGGGGGGATCAAACCAACGAAAATCTGCACAGAAGACTGAAGGAAAGACCCTTAGCAATAAAGAATTCATCTTAGAGGTTTCTTTAAGAGCCAACAGCATGAGAAAAACACTCGACCTACGTGAGTCATACACGAGTTTATTTGTGCATGTGTATTTCCTGCATAGAGAATAATGTGTACCTTGGAAAAAAAACATGTTTGGAAAATATATTGAGAGTATGGGTATTTGTAAGAGTGCTATTGGCAGATTAATTCAAACCCAAATGCTCAAGCTCAACTGTCTCAGAGACTTGCAGAGCATGAACTTCGATAAAACGAACTACTTTTTAAAAAAACTGTTTGCTTATAGCATGATTTTGAATTTATGGTGTAGATAAAAGAGAGGTAGAAAGGTTTATCTCCCCAATATCTTTTTCTGTGCAGTATTTATAAAGTTTCAGGAAAAAATCCATAGTTTTTTGGTGAAAATGCCTGTTTTTCCCTTTAGAATTATATGGAATCTCCTCTTTCCCCTGTGCTGCAAACAGAGTAACTGAAATCTGGTTCAGAAGAACTCTCATATCCATCAGCCTCAATACATCACTTTTGTTACCATCTTCTGCTTTTAAGAAGCCATTGCAGACATACTCCTATACAGGGCTCAGAAATACCCAGCAGATACAACCTACCCAACAAACTACATTTATCAGCTAAATAATAACAAGCCTGCTCCTAAAATAAAAGCACTCGCTCTTGCTCTACTTACATGATCCCTCTTCTGGATGCTACTGAGAGGGACAGAAGAGGTATGGGAGGCCATACGGCCCTTCTCCTTTCTGGTGATGACCACATCAGCATCACCCTGGCTGGCAGTAGCTGCAGCTTCCCAAGGCAGCTGCTTTTCCTGCCACGATCCACCCTCCGCAGCCGGAGGACGGGTAGCGCTTTGGTGATGAGCGCCCTATAAAGGGTAGGAAGGACGAGCTGACCAGGAGAGGCAGCTTAACAGAAGCCACATTGGTAAAGATAAAATGCGTCTTTCCCTGGTGCAATACAAGCCCGCAGCGCTACAGCTTTCATGATTGTCACTAGAGATGGGAGCGAGATGAAAACATCTTGGCTCTTGCAGCTACAGCCATCAAGGCTATGACCCAGGGTGCAGTGGATTTCCCCCTGAGCCGAGGCCCTCAGACCCAGCAGTGCCAGGGAGCAGCAGGTCAGAGGCAGCAGGATGGGATCTGGCAATAAGGGCTCCATCCCTGACCCCCTGCTCCCATGGCACCGCGAGGGGTGATGTATCTGGATGAGAAGGACCCGTCGATGGACATTTCGGGACGCACAGGGCTGGAGCTCCACTGTTATCTACGTAGCAGAGACTGTTCAAGGGTGGGATTTGAGCCATGAAAGTCAGGCCGCTGCATAGTGACCTTTAATTTACCCACAGAAAGTTAAGTAAATGATATTAAATTAAATTCAGCCAAAGCAGATGCTAGCTTATTTATTAAAAAGCTCAGCTTTCTCTTTCTATCGGTTTTGGGGACACGCAGCTCTTGGGAGCAGCTCTTCACTCTAACTCAGCTCCACAAAGTGGCCAGAGTTACCTTCCTGCAGCAACACCAGCCACAACAAGACCTGGCTGCCCCTAGGGATGCTCAGAAATGCCACGTGAGCACCGCATCAGTGCCTGTTTGCTCTCTACACTTCTCGCTTCATCCAGGCTTTCTCCCTCCTTCCTCACAAACCACCCTGACCTTGCAGTGGAAGACGATTCTTTGCTGCCAAGAATGCCTTCTACTGTCGTATTTCTTAAGAAATCTATGAATCGATTAATATAAAGAAGTACTTACTTCATTTCAGAGAAACAGATACTGCCCTGCAAATACATAACTTGTCATTAGTTTTCGATAGGCTCAGGTAAGGAAGATTGTATTCAGTATCAGGGTCACGTTTACAACACAGGTTGGAAATGTTTTCTTTCCTGTGGTTGTAGCATGATGAGACAACTGATGCTACTGCACTCAAATAATCGACAGCCACGCTTCTCATTTTTAGCCGTCCTTCTCTCTGTCCTTCTACCTGCTCCCTTTCAACAGCATGCCTAAAAGCAGAGTCACATAAATAAGGGATGTGTTGCATCCAGCTGCACATACACAGTCTATTTTGTCTCTTTTCTTTTGTTCTCTGGATACATTACTGCCATTAATTTCATCCTCAAACTGTGATCCACCAGAATTTTTAAAAAAATTCAAGTACAAACCCAAACTTTACTGCTGGGTTATGGGTCAATGTAAACTGACCAGAGTCCATGCCAACCTAAAATTCGCTTTACAAAAGTAAGGATTGTTCAATTACATTTGCTGACCATAGACAGCTTCTTTCACTATTCATACAGCTTGAAGACTGAAGATTTGCTGGGAACAAGACACAGTCCAGGTCCATTGGAAGTAAATGGAACTAATAGCCATCATCATCCTCCATATCACAGCCATAATCTGAAACACACAAAGGCAAAGGCATATAAAAATGCAAATATTCCAGGTAGATGGCAGATACAACAGAAGTATTGAGACTTTCAGGTTGTTTTCCTGCTGTGTAACTAGATGGTAAGTTTTGCCTTAAGCAAGCACTTTAAAAAATCATGTATTTTCTTAGGGCTAAATAAAAAGTTCTTGCATGTGCTTTCCTAAAATTATTTCTAAGCATGTCTGTGTAAATATCTCTTCTCGCTTGCCACTGGACCCTCATTTAGGAATACCTGGCACATGGATACGTGAGACGCTTGCTCTAATTTAGAGGTGAAGGTGATCAAGCCTGATTGTCAGAAGTAATTTGGAACGCAGTGGCTGATAAGCAGTGGCGTACATTTGCAAGTAGGCACCGTTCTCACTCGACATAGCCACCAAGAAAAAAACCGGCTTGTTTATATTATTCATGCATTTATAAGCTGAAGCTGCAAGAGTTCAGAGATAGCTCTGCATTCCCATCAACATCAAAGGAGTCATGCAACGAATCCTGACCAATGCATCTGACTCAGATCTCCCAGAACCACTCACTCCTACAGGAGAAACTTAAAATGTTGTCCAGTTGGGTTTTTTTAACCCATTTTGTTTTCTTAAACAATGCTGAGTGCACAGACTGTATGATATGTGTGTCAGAAGGCACATTTGTGTGTCTCTAATGCACCAATTTCTCCTCTGTGTGTTTCTCAGTGCAGTGAAACAGATCTTTTCTGCTGCACAGCCGAACCTAAGGATAACCAGTGCATATGAGCATTCATATTCCAAATTCAGTACAGTGCAACATTTCATCCAGAGTCAAGACAATGCTCAGCAGCAGAATTAAGCGTCATTGATGATAATCTGTGTAGAATAGGAGAAGTTCACCACCTGTAATTCCTGTGGTTACTCCAGGTCTAAAACCCATGAAGAAAGCAGTCAGAAAGGAGTTACTTGCTCTGCAGAGCAGCTCTGCACACCTGCATTTGAATTCTGGGAATACTGTTTTCCTTTTATTTTATTTTTTTCAAACGCTGATTTTTCAGCTGCTGTCCAGCCCAGACAGGGAGTAGTGGAATGTTCTCAAGAATAGTTTAAAAATAGTAACATTTACAAAGAAAAAAAGCTCAGTGACCTTTATTCTATTTTTGTAGGGGGTTTATTAATAAACATAGACCCACCCTCCCCCTCATGGGTGCCTTTTCTTGGGAACATTATTCTAATAATAAATGCAGGCAACGAACTGTTTTTCCTACAGTTCAGCAATTATTTTCCAGTGGAGAAATCAATTTAGAAGCAACAGACACTTTTGTGAAATGTATACATACTGTCCACGAAAGCTAAATTAATAGTGCTGGAAAGATTTCTGCGGCAAATAACATTTCAACAGGAAATTTATTCCCATCTTGCTTTTTTCACAACCCATAATTAGCAGCTCTCATTTTAAAAATATTTTTTGTGTATTTTCAAAGCTTATCTTCTACGGGGAAGTTTTTAATAAAGGATAAATGTGGATGTGTCCAGCTAGGAAAAACCACAGCGGAGAGGATGCTGCCTTTTCCTGCCAGCAAAGAAACCTAATTAAATGAGTGGCTTCGCTGGGTAACCCAAAGAAATTATCACACATCTGTGCACCATGCAGCACGCCATGCGCTATCGGTGCAATTTCTGTGCTTGCTGAAGAAGTCTTTCCTCCTAACGCTTTCCCCAGAAACAGAGTGTGACAATCATTTTGGTTTGAGCTGGACAGCCCCATCCCCAGGGCTCACAGACAGCCTGGACGTCGCTGCAGGCCCAGCGGAGGAGGCAGGCCGGAGCTAGGCCGCTCGGCTTGGGGGGCAATGAGCTCCAAGCACTGCTAATGGAGGGGTTTCTGATTCCTAATTCCTCAGATCCACATTAATAAACCTAATTCTAACGAAGGTGTAACATCAGTTTGTTCTTGAGGAGGCCTCTAAGCCTAAAGCTCGGGATGCAAAGTTCTCTCAGGAAGCGTCTCTAGGAAGGTCAGGTTTCGGACAAGGGTGACTTCAGGCTTTCCCAAGGAATGGGCAATGCCGAAAAGGCAGCAGGACCTCTGCATGGGACAAGCTGCCAGAGGGCAGGGACAAGCAGAGGAACCCTGTCTGTTCTCAGCTCTGCGACAATGAACCCCACAGCACCAGGAGATGGCAATTTAGAGAGCACCTCAGCTTACCGTTCCCTCCCATCAACTGCAAGGCGCTCATGCAGTGATCGTCATCTTCTTCTATTTCTTCCTCTTCCATCTCTTCATCAGGGTTGTAAGCTACTGGGCCACTCTCCACTAGCACAGCCGCTGGTTTTGCTATGTCAGAGGCTTCTGCTTGTGCATTTGGAAAGGTCACCTGCAAAAATGATGAGGGGACAGTAAAGGAGCCCTTCCTTTTGTCCAGTATTTGTATGAAACATTGGCAGCTCCCACACTCCGAAGCCCATATCCAGTGCTAGAGGCTTAGCTCTTCCAGGGGACATGAAAGTTGCTCAGTGAAATGTTGCCAGAATGAAAGTCAGGCACAAACATCCACAGTTTTCACATAATTCATAGCTAGATAAGTGAAATATCTAGAGACGGTAACAGCAGAACAAGGATCCTCCTGCAGCACAAGGTAAGGAGCAATCTGGGAGTGAAGGCTCCTGAGCAGAGCTCTGTGGGAAGTCTTACAACCTCTTTCCTCATTGTGCTCAACTCACATCAGGCCTATTACACAATAACAACGTTACTGACACTTTAATGATAGCAAAAATGTACCCTTCAAATCAGAAAAACCCCAACATGGATTAGTTTTGACAGCTCTGGTGGGATTTATTTGGAGGCACAACGAGCTGTGGAACAAATAGCACTCTTTAGACAGCGCTTAATGCGATGGCAGAGCACTAGGTTGGTAACGCACGCCAGCACCTGTAACATTACCTGTGACATTCATCAGAATAATGATCCCCAAACACTAACTTGGGAATTGATCACTGATGGGACCCATTCGTTCGTGCACCTCCCCAGCTGCTCCAAGGTTAGGCAGGACATGGAAGGGAGGGAGAGAAAGGGCAACACCACAAGGAGACAGAGATGAATTTGGAGGTTTAGGTAATAATGTCTTCAGTTCACTAATGACTGATTTGGGAACAGAGCAGGAACCAGTAACGTCTGCCCCAGCACAGCCTGGGCTCCGGTCTCTCTGGAGCTCTCACTTCATTGTAGGACTTCACCCTCCCTCATCCAGGGAAGAAATATCACAGCAGCTTTTTCTCCACCAGCTTTGTAACAGGGCACTTTTCACCTCCATTCTGTACTTGGACTATTTGGGGTTTGTACACTAGAGCCTGGGGCCCAAAAAGGCCATCCCATTAGTGGCAACTTGAAGAATGCTAAAGATTAACCATTAACGCTGCTTTGTCATGTGAGCAGTTTTGAGAAACGGGAATACTAAACAGGACCTGTGCTCCTCCCCTGCTAGGAGAGACAAAAAGACTGGGACTGCCTCCTGGGGAAGGCCAGTGGTAAGGAGCTCCTAACACCGAATGGTCCAAAGGAGACCAGGAAACCCCAACTCCTCTGGTCCCTACCACAAGAAAAGTTCTACAGTGAGTTAGGTTTTAAATCACAGTCCACAACTGTGTACTGCTGCATCTTCTCCAGCTCCGTTGACACTAAGTTCAGATTCAGCGTTGTAATTTATTTTTATTTATTTATAAATGTATTTACTTGGGATGCACTAACTCCCAGAATCCCTGTAACTTCAGGCACTTTAAAGACACACCACAAGGAAAGTCCCTGTACCAGAAAGTTAATAGACTAATTATTCAAACATCAAAGCTGTTCCTTAACTTGTCATATACCATGCCAGTCAACCTAAAGAATCTGCCTGAGTTTTTCAAAGTCACCTAAGGGTTTGCTCCAAGAGCTCATTAATAGGGCAAAAGACAGCCATTAATTTTAATAGAAAATCAAGTATTTAGGTATTCAGATCACTCAAAGACAGGTTTTCATGATTTTTGAATGCTCAAATTAATCATACTATTTAGAGGAACTTCCCTCCAGTTTATTTTCTATTTCCTACCACTGCTTTTGCCTCTAGAGTGAGCAAATTGAGTCCGTCTAGGTTTTCGGTATAAGCAGAAATAGACACAACAGTTCGAGATGAATCAGCATCATAATATGTATCAATTTATATGCTTAAAATTATCCATCTGCTCTGAAAAAGTGGGTGAATATAAAGGAGCTAAAATTGAGTCATTATTTTTTTAAATTGCACCATGCTAATTAAAATGTGACCTTCTTCTAATTATCATGTCCACTTCCAGACTGCTACACTTCTAAAAATGTGCAAGGTTTTCTAATGAGCATAGCATAAGAAGTGAAAATGTATTTCCCCAGGCAGGATATCAAACCGTTTCTGAAAATCAATGGGTTTTAGTAATTTTAAAAATAAGGCAGTCAAACAACACCTTTAAATAGAACTTCCTGAACTCACTTCCAGATATCCTGGTCTTCAGTTTGGCGTGTATCTTTGTGTATGGACTGGCAATCGTCAAAGCACTCTGAATTACCCAGGTTAACTGGTTCAAAGGGGTGTCAGTGTCACACGGTCATAGGAAAAGCAAGGAGGACAAATACCTTTGGTACATTAGGAACAGAATTTTTAGGTATGCAGTCAGCATTTATTTTATCATACTCAAAATGCGTATGCTCACTTCATACAGTGTGAGTATAACAGTGAAAGAGAGCAGTAACCGCTGTGACTGACAACAACCACGACCCCTTCGGCAGAAGACGCACAAAGCCACCCAAGGAGGGCTTCTGGCAGTGGACAGTTACTACCACCAACTTTTCTATGCACTATTGTATTCTCAAACTAAACACACTAACAAAAGGAAGAGTAAGCCATGCTACACAGGGCAAGCTGCCACTCTGTGTTTCCTCACGGGCATCCCACAGAAGCACAGCCCTTCCCTTGGGTCAGCGCGGGCTGTGCCGTAGCAGCGTTTCACATTGTTCCCTTTCTCCATGGGGACGGTCCAGGCACGACCCCTGCCCTCTCCTACTCCTCCTGCCCACTTGTTTGACACTAACCTTTTCACACGCTTGCACACGCTTTTTTCCTGTCAAACCAGGGCCTATGAGGCTGTGCTAAGGTTACTGATGGATAAGCAAGGGCAAATCTTGGTTAGAAAACACACAAACTCAGCTTTGCAGGGTTTGCAGTAACCAGCTCCTAGTCTGGTCAGAGAAATACTCTCTTTTATCCGTTATCTACCACATAACCAGAGCTGGGCAGAGAAAGGCTCGTGGGAATTTCCAAACTCAAATTCAAGCTGTTGCACCCGAAGTGCTGGACTTTACATACCTCTTCAGTGGCAGCCTTTTTAGCAAGCTGTGTCGAAATCAAGGGTCTTAATCTGCAAAGAAGGAAAGAAGAAATGGTGAACATCAGGGAAGTTACACCAAGCACAGAAGAACCTGACACAGAGCATTCACTCTCCAAACAGTGAAAGCACTTTGCTAGTGTTATGTTGTGCAATTACTTTTTTAAAGATATAAGATAAAGAGCGGAGAGCCACAGACTCCACAATAATTAATACGCACGCTCCCTTGTAAGCATCTGCCCCAGTTCGGCATAGCAAGATAAGACGCCTGTCAACAAGCACAGTCGCAAAACCTCCTCAAACTGAAATAGATGGCTTTGTCACAGATTACAAAAGTCAAAAGACTCAACTGATTTTTTGGAAGGATGCAGACGTGGCAGAAACGAGCCGCACTGAATTACCCAGCACCGCTCTGCAACTGCTTGCCTGCATTTGATGACACACACAGGATACCAGTAAGATTGTACAGCCAGGATATCACAGTAACCACAGGCAAAACTCTAACCTCCAGCTACAGAGCTCATCATGAAAAACATGGGGACCCTGCACAACTTAAATGAAAAATGACAGAAATTGAACACTTTTAAAAATTCTGCATCGGATATGAAGAAGTCCTGCATATCTGGAGAGAAAAGATGGATCAGTATTGCTCTACAGCTAAGTGTCAAATACTGCTCTTGCTGAAAAACATTTCCTAGCCTGTTGTCTCCTTCCTGCCATGAAGGCTGTTCTCAGTCCCTCATTTAGTGCTGCTTTCTGGTCTCTCCTCGTCTGGATGGATCTAGTCACGAAGAGGATGACTTGCTTTCTACTGAAACACCGCCCAGACAGCTCCTCAAGGATGTCTTTTAACTAAGTCTAGGCAAACAACTTAATGAATACCAATTTATGTCTCCAGAGATGTAGTCTTTTATGATAAGCAGAACCTTTCTTCTCATTTTTCTATTAGTCATTCCTCCCTGCTAACACAGATACTGGTTGTTTTCCTGCTTATTTATTTATTTCAAATAATCAGCAAGAGGAAGAAAAAAAAAAAAGCAGAGAATGAGCAAGGGAGACTCAGATCATTATCTCTGATGGAGAAGACAATATTAAAACACAAGAGACTGGCTAAGCTCCAAAAAAGGTTCAGAAACTGCAGAAACTGGTCATCTCTGAAATGCTTTGCAAGACCCAGAAGGCATTTTGTCAACCACAGTAGTCCGAGGTGCCTCCTTAGAGTAGATGAAACAAAAAGAAGCCACGGGAATGCTTCAGGAGCTGTACCACTGACAGATCCAGAACACGTTATCCTGCTACAGGCACTTCTTGTCTTATTTTATAATGATTAAAAAAAAAAATCAAGAAAGAGATACTCTTGACCCACATAAACTATTACTTACAAATCCTGGTGGACTTCAGGGCTTGGAGAGAATGTATTTGAAGGCACAGACCCACTCCTCCCTTTTCTTTAACCTGAATCGGAGAGTTTGCACAGAATCGCAGAATGGGTTGGGTTGGAAGGGACCTTTAGAGGCCATCCAGTCCAACCCCCTGCAGTGAACAGGGACATCTTCAACCAGATCAGGTCGCTCACAGCCCCGTCCAGCCTGACCTTGGATGTGTCCAGGGATGGGACATCTACCACCTCCCTGGGCAACCTGTGCCAATGGTCATTCACCACCCCCATTGTAAAAAAATTCTTCTTTATTTCCTGAAATCTGAGGCTACCTACCCACTGCCAATCCCTGTTTTCCAAGTCACCCTGTTTAGATGCGTACAAACACACGGATGCAGCAATGTCGAAAGGTTATGTAGCTGAAGGACGCTAAGCACCAAACAGGTTGTGTTTCATTGACATGACTGAAAAAAGGTAACAGAGGTACGAAATGAAGGACCTTTATTTTATACCAGTAGCAGTGATTATTGCAATTAACATTGTATCAAGGATAGCACCCCTTTCCTCCTGCTACCAAAAGACATCTGACCTCCCTGGAGCACCCTGAAATCTTCCCTCTCCCCAATTAAAATCAAGCTGTTGAGTAAGGCTCACAATGCAATCAGAAACTGCTGACATTTCTTTTAGAGCAAATTATACATGTGCTCACACAGGGAAGAAAACAATCACAGCTATAGGAAGCAAAGAGTAAACATTCCAGTTTCGTTTTAATTAAAACGGTCCCCTAATGAAAATAAAAAGATTCACACTTATGAAAAGCCTATTTACAAACTTTAGTGGTAAATCCAAGAGCCCTTCCGTACCATTTTTCACCAGCGAGTGATTCTCACACCCAAGCTGAAATTAAAGCTGTATTTCTGTTCCACAAGAACTGCTCACAAAGCACACATCTTCACTTCATTACTAGAAATACAGCGCTGTATGCAGTTTGGGCAACACAGTCTCTCTCCCAGCAGCGTATCTGATGCATCCGAAAGCAGCGGGTTGGATGCTGCTCCTGCCCTGGCTATTGGGTGCTGGCTGCAGTGCGGGTCTGAGGGGGTGGCCTCGGTACTGTGTGCTACCTACAAAAAGAGGTACAACTATCACAAAGAAGAAAAAACTTATTTCTCTCCTGAAATAATTTGACTGAAACCATATAAAAGTTATAAATACGTAAAAAAGAGAAGTTAACTTCTCCCCCTTGGCTCTCCTTATGCCTGTGGAGAACCCTACTATTACTGTCTAAAACCATTTAGGAAGGTTTTATAGTGGGGTTTTGTTTTGTTTCTTAAGTGCCCCGATGCCCTGACCTCTTTAAACCAGAGCAGCTGCTGCCACACCAGCCATATGGAGCAATAAATTACTGGCTGCCATGGCTACAGATACGGGCTCCTTCTGCTGTCTGGCTGCACCGCAGAGGGTGGAGAAAAGGGTCTTCGTGGAAAAGCACGACTGCTTTGGAGGCTGGGACAGGTTTGGGTATTAATGATCAAAAAACAGCTTGGAAAAAACAAGTAACTGAAGTATCTTACCCAACTTTTAATGTGCGTGACTCAACCTCAGCTGTAAGGTACACACAAGCACATACACCCTGCACGTGAAAAATCCTGTCCATCAGAGTCCAGGCTGAATTGAGGGTTGCCCAGTTCCACAGATAACAATATACCGCATTAAGATCCAATCCCACATATGCTAAAGCAACAACAGCCTCTATTTAAAATGTAATGTTGCAACCGGGAAGTAATGGGTTCCTGGTCTTCCCAGGTGTTTCAGGACTTGTTCACTGTCTATGATGCTTTCTAGTTGGGGGCTCTTTTGTTAGGAACTTTGCAAATTAATACAGTACCCTGTGGGAGGGAGTAACAAAACGAGCAACTTTCTGAACAGCAATGTGATCTATAAAAGGGGAAAAAAAGATCTCATGCGGCCCCAAGTGTTATATCCACATTTGTAACTACTTCAGAAATTACGCAGATCTACAAATGCTCGTGTCAGCCAACACACACAACACTGGAAGCAGGTAATCTCGACGTGTTCGCGACAAAACTTAGGTACTTAAGGATATGGTTTAGGGGGTAGACAGGAACGGTTGGACGTGATGAGCTCAGAGGGCTTTTCCAACCGAGCCATTCTGTGATTCTGTGAAAACCTAACGGCACGGTACATGGCGTCAGAGGCTGCACCCTGCCGAATCCGCTCCGCTCTCAGCCCAGACGTGCACGATAGCGCCTAGGTTTGTCCTCCAGCTTAGCAATTCAAAAGAAGATTCGATATAATAGCTCCTGACAGAGCTGGAGATCACACAGACTGAACTTTCAAAGCGAGCGAATTCCCTGCAAAACAAGCTGGCTGTGACAAACAACTGCTTTTATTTTGCTTATTATTTAATAGCAAAAGATTACACAGCACAGTACATAAAACAGGAAGAGCACTACGAAGCAATAAAACCACCTCACTTGCATCAGGCTGTTCGCCCACCAAAAAGGTTTATGATACCATAACAATCTCCTCAATGCAATCCTGCAAGTAATTTGGAATCTCACCCAAAGCTCCGTTTCTTACTGAATTTTAATTTAATCCATCCAACTAAGAAACACCTTATTGCTGCTTACCGCCCAGACTAATTTTATCTGTGGACGATCCCAGAATAGGCAATGGGAAGCAGAGATACAACAGAGCCCACAGCCACAAGCCTGCAGTGTAATTACACAGGTCATCTCAGACAAATGCCTATAAAACCTATACATCCGTACCACAGGCCTTTCGTACGTATGCCACTCCAGCGACAGAAAAAGCTATTGAGAAATGATTCAGCAAGAGGCTGGTCAGGTTCTCCACACTGGTTTTGATCCTCCTCCCGCCTAAGGCCAGATGGTTTTGCCTCAGGAGGTCAGTTTACCATACATCTGTGTGAGAAGGAAATTAATATAAATGTTTACCCCGGCTAAAAGTGCCCTTTAATTAGGTACCGTCAATGTTATCCTTACCGGAAAGCTGGGAATTACCTCTCTGCAAGGGTTTAATGCTCTTGTTGAAAACACAGCAACATCAGGAGATTCTGACCACTGCCATTAAGTCAGGACAAAAGGGTGACCCTCCTGGACTTGGTCCACTGCTTTTTTCCAGAGGGTGAAACAGAGACTGCAATCACGACCACAACCCCAGAGCACTCTGGGGTTTGCACATCCAGCTGCAGATCCCACCATCATCTACGTCTGCTTCTGGCTGAGAGCTGGGTGCTCACAAGAGCCATTCCCTCTCCTAGAGAGGAAACCAACGCACGTGGCCAAGGCCTTGGCTGGTTGTGACACCGGCGAACGCTGCCTGATGCCTTGGGGATGGGCTGAGGTGTCAGGGTGCACCACGGCACACCCGAAAAAGCCCAGATACAACCACAGACAACATCACGCTCTGCAGAAAGACAAAGCATCTCTGATGCTCACACCTTGAAACCGCATGTGCCCGAATGCAAAGTAGGCAGGTTTTTTTGGCTTTCTGAAGGCCAGGCTGCCTGTTGCCCAGCCCAGCTCACCACCAGTGTGAAAGCCTCAGGGGATTTCCCCGAATCACTCTCTCCAATGACAGAGCTGCAGACTCCAACCGACGACCAAAA